TGGCTGGCCCAATAGGTCCAAGAACCTTCCTGTGTTTGCCTCCTAGTAACGGGATTACAGGAGTGCATCCCACACTTGACTTTTTTTTTTTTTTTTTTTTAATGTGATTGCTAGGGATTAGAACTCAGGATATGCAGAGCAAGCATTTTACCTACCAAGCCATCTCTTCAACCCAGAGGTTTGTGTCTTTGCATGCATGCATGGTTCTGACCCAAGGAAAGAGGTTTCCATGTTGGTCTCAAGAGCCTTGACCCTTTGAGCCCTTCCCACTGCAGGGTCCAGGTGGGGGAAAAAGGCTCCAGTGTGTTGATTGGGAGACATTAGTGCAGCAGAGTTTTGTCTCCATCACTGCGTGTTCTGGGGACACTGCTCAGAAGGGCCTGGTGAGGGGACAGGGTCAGCAGTCTACTTTGTGCAGAGCTTAAACTCTTTCCTCTGGTATGCTAAGCAAGGGCAGGGTCTTCAAGGCACAGATCTGCCTGTAGCTGCCAGGTTATCGACGGGGTTACACCAGTGGCCGCCGCGCTCTCCAGGGAAACCTGGTGTCTAACTGTCACTTGTTGGTTAGTTTTCCCATGTAAGCATGATCCCCACCCAGTGTTGGCAGACACCTGAACACAGATGGCTCTGCACGCTAGTCTGAATCTTTGTGCCCTCAAAAGAACTGCTGGGACAGTTGCTTGTCGAGGCTTCCTAAAACACACACATTAGATTTAGGAAGCCTGAGAGACAGGAAACCCTTTGCCCATGTTAAGAAATGATGTCCGGAAAGCCGAGGGAGCAAAGACACTTGTCACCAAAGCCTAATGGCCTGAGTTCTGACTCCCACACATGCACATGTAAACAGTAAATAAATAAATAAATGTAAAAACACATGCACATGTAAACAGTAAATAAATAAATGTAAAAAAGTTCTAAAAGAAATGGTGTAGGAGAAGAAACACACAATGCATAAAGAAGCGGAGCCATAAGAATCCAGAGCTGCACGTGAAACCGCTCTTGAATAGTGAGAAAGCTGAGGGGAAAAAAAAAAAAAAAAAAAAAAAAAAAACCAGAGGGCCAGATCATCAGGGTCCTTCATCAGGCCACAGAAAGTTCAACACCCATGACACCCCTACTGGGAAGTTAAGAGAGTGACAGGCAGCCTGGGGACAACAGCAAGCCTAGGAGCAGAAGGGCTTAGCGATGGCCCAGGCTGAGCATGGTCTCTTCTCCTAATGCTCGGGTCATGGAGGCACTGGAGAGAGAAACCGCAGCCCCTGTCTCAGCACACTCAGCACACTTCAGTTCAGGGAACTGAAGAGAGGGCTGAACCAGTCTCTCACAGGCCACTCTGAGGGACCGGAGCAGAGAGCAGAGCCATTAACAGACAGCCGGGACAGACCCTCACAGGTGCCTTTAGCTCATTTGGGAATAACACACGTGAAGACAGAAGACTGGCTTCCTACCAAGCGAAGAGCAGCCGAACACAGGTGCCAGGGCTACCCCTTGACAGATGTCCACCACTCTCGAGAGGAAAGCTCATAGGCCAGCCACGTAAAGGCACTTGCTGCCAAGCCTGCCAACCGTGAGACATCACTGGTGCCCGCATGCTAGGAAGGAGAGAACCAACTCCCGTGAGTTACCTGATGAAATCCGTATGTGTACGCTGGCACATGTAAGCCCCTCCCCTATAGACAAATGCAGTGTGTGTGTGTGTGTGTGTGTGTGTGTGTGTGTTTTCCTCTGTTGCTACTGTTTGTAGTTACTGTGATACTGTGATACTTGAGGCCCTGTGACTCTAGAGAGAAGAGGTTCGCTTGACTCGCAGCCCTGGTCCAAGGTCAAGGCTCCATCTCTGTGATGAGCTCTGAGTGGCAGAGTCAGGAGGGGCAGGGGGCTTCACACACAAGCGTTTGCCTCTCCTCACCTCTCCTTCCTCTTCCCAGCACTGAATCACGTGGCCTCCACTCGGATGGCACTGTCTAACCCTGAACACTGCCCACAGCTGAAGGAGCTGGATTCAGCGTCTTCCTTCCTGCTACCGTCTAATGGGGGAGTGCATTTCCACACATGAGCCCTCACAGGCTCACTGAAGTCATCTGAAAACCACAGCACCCGTCCCTGACTCCCAGCGTGTCAACCTCACAATGCAAAATGCTGCCTTTCTGTCCCCAAGAGTCCTACAGACTTAGCTCCGTCTAGCCTGCATAGAGTTAGCACCGAGTCTCACCCAAGACTCAAGCTGACTCTTCGAAGTTGTAACCCTATAAAATCAGGACAAGTCACCCATTCCCAAGATTGGCAAAGTGGAAAAGACTATCCGGCCCAAAGCAAGACTAAAACGCTGCTGGGAAGACACTAAACCCCAACATGCCAAGTCCAGCCCCTCTAGCACACTGTGAAAGGAGAGCCCCGAGCCTTACAACGGCTTTTCTGGCCACAGGGCTACTCTCCTGCAGCCTTCCTCGGCGAAGGTTGCATGGTTACCTGTAGCTGTTCCTCCCTGAGAATGTCTCAGCCCTGAAGGATGGGGAGAGAACAGCCAAAAGTAAGAGCTAGAAGCCCTTACCCAAAGGAGGGCAAAATAGAGTCAGAGGAACACCTGTGGGCTACAGCTAGATGGGGCCCACAATTGGCTACAGGCACTCCAGGAAACCCGAGGTGAACTGTGGTTTTTCATAAGCTACCTCCAACAGACAGCGTGTGAGAAAGCCTGCGCTGTGCGAATGAACCAAGAGTCCTCAGATGTGGTGTAAAAGTCAATGTGACTGGTACAGCCAGGGCTCCTTCTGGCTTCCTCCCTTGAGAGTGCATTCTTTCTTAACAGATTTCTCCCACTTTGCTTCCTACTGTCCACATCTAATTCCTTGTTCCAAACACAAGAGCCTGAGAACCTCAGCAGGTGTCTGCCAGACCCCTGCATCCACCAGTACCAGCCGCACTATATATGCGCACTTCCCACAGGCGCTCCAACCCACGCAACTTCCGCCAGGCTTCCCTTTGAAATCTCGGAGGAGGTCAGAGTGTTACCACCAGGACTGCCCGCCTTCTGTATGCCTGAAAATGCAGCACGGCCTTGATGCCAAGGGCTAGCACCCGGAGAAGCCTCACCCAGGCTTGTGTGACTGCAGGCTTTTTGCCAGTTGCTCTGATCAGAGAAACTGGCTTCTGTCACACGAATCTCTCCAGTAAATCTTTTCACAGCCACACCCTCACATTCCTTGTTCTTTGCTTCCTCCTTGGCCAGACTGGGAGATTTTCAAATCTTTCCCTTTGGTCCGGAGTTTTACTACAAATCTGGCTAAATGCAGTCATTAATGGCCAGGCAGCAGTGAGAATCTTTGTTGATTTGAAACCTCATTTAAAAGAAAATGGCTCTCAAAGGGAGTAGCACTCTTAGGAGGCATGGCCTCGTTGGAGGAAGCACATCACTGTGAAGGCGGGACTTGAGTTCTCCTATGCTCAAGCTATGCCTAGTGTTACAGTTCACTTCCTGCTGCCTGCAGATGAAGATGTAGAACTCTCAGCTCCTCTCCAGCACCACGTCTGCACGCACGACGCCATGTCCCACTGTAAATGATAATGGACCGCGCCTCTGGAAACAGTAAGCCACCCCGATTAAATCTTTCCCTTTATAAGAGTCGCTGTGGTCATGGTGTCTCTTCACAGCAACTGAAACCCTGAGACACCAAATATATGAGTCCATCATCTTTACATGTGGTGTCCCACAAGGGTTTAGGGCGTGGACACCACTCAGCAGGGAGCTTTGCTACATCACATAAGGATAGCCTCTTCCCTATTTCCTAAGAGGCTCCCCACTCCCATCTAAGGCTAACTCACTGGTTTCTGCTTCACCCTCACCAGAATTTGCCAATAATATTTGCCTTACAGTAAAACAAATTTTTCCCAACCCATTCTTCCAAACTCCTCTGACCTCTTCCCATTACTCAGATTCAAAGCCGCTTCCACATTCTCGGTATATATCAAGTGCAAATGTCTGTACTAGCTTTCTAGGGTTTGTTTTACCATAATGAAATACTGAGCTGAGTAACGTTCTATAAAGAAAACAGGCTTAAGGCTTATTTGGGCTCATGGCTCTGGTCCAAGGTCAAGAACCTGTATCTGATGATGGCCTTCCTGGCAGCACAGGGTACCACACACAACGAGGGACAGAAACGTCTGGTCTCACCCTCTCCTTTCAAAGGGTTCAATCATGGGGTCTCCACACCGAAAATCTTATCATCTTATCTCATCACCTCCAAAGTTCATACCTCTAAATGCTTCAATGGTATTGTTTCCATCATTTTAACTTCTCCCATCAGGAGTTAAATTTTGGCACATGAACCTTGGAAGATGTCACAAGGCCTTCAAGGCATGTGCTCCTAGGAGGACTATGGCATAATATATGTTTATATTTATATTATATGTGTAATATTATAGGAGGTATTATGAACGACCTTTCGACTTTGTGATGTGGCATTGACATCCAGAAATGCGTTGGGCCTTTTTCATAGCTATCTTAGGGTGCATGTGACTGACAGACAGCAAGGTGGACACTCCTGCTAACAAAGGAAATGAGCCTGCACTTGTTCAATATAGGAACACTCCCCGCCCCAGCTGGGAAGCACTTCCAATCCGCGCTTGGGTGAGCCCACAGTGGCAGAACTCGGGTATGTGGAGAGCCTGCTGTCACTGTAGCTTGCTTGTCTCCTCCTTGCGCACTGCTGGAAGGACACACTGTGTCTGGGTAGATTGTTGGTCACTGGTGAGCACCCAGTTCCTAGACCAGGGCTCTGCCCGCACGGCAGGTGCTCAGTCTTTACCTCCACGTAGCGTGACTGAACCACCAATAGATTCAGGACTACGGGGCAGAGGGGCCACTATGGCGAGAAGGATCCCTGTCCTTGACTTTCCCTCTCTTGCGGGTACCAACCACACTTCCCTGCCGACCCAGGACCACAATCCACTCAGACGACAGCCTAATTACAGCCTCCCCACCCCCCAAAAAAATCACCTACCAAAGGGGGGCAGCAGCTCTGCTTCCGAGGGACAGACGTCCGGTTGCTGTGTCCTCCGGCCGTAGGTGGCAGAGTAGATGTTGAGGAACCTGGACTCGTGACAGTGCAGTTTCAACTCCTGGTGTTCGCACACCGTCTTGTGTTTTAATTCATCTGGGGAAGCAGCAGAAGCCAGTGACAGATTAGCCTGGCTTGGAAGGAATGGCCGGGGACAGTCTGAGTGACAGCTGCTCAGCCCTTGTGGACCTGCACCCTGAGAAGGGCACAGCAGGGTGACCCTGCCTGCCTGGGGCTTTGGGCCCTGAGGGCTGGGGAGGGAGACCCCTTGCAGGAAGCAGGTGGGAAGCAAGCAGAGGCAAGTAAACACTCCTGGAGTCACACTTCTGTGCCATTGGGGAAAAGGGTTAATGCGGGGAGAGGGCCACTCAGATCCTGGGAAGTTTCTCCTGCTCCATTTTAGAGCAAAGATTCACTAAAGAGGAGGGAACCCCCTGGTAAATGCTGGCTCGTGCACCACAAGCCCTGGCCACCAACTCCACACAAGCCTCCCTCCCTCCCTCCCTCCCTCCCTGAGTCTGGTGTACTTTGTTCACAAAGGATGCAGAATGGGGTTGGGGAGCGCGGGCTTCAGTCAGTAGTGCTTGCTTGCCTAGTACAATGAAGCCCTGCGTAGAACCCCAGCACCACACAAATAATGAAGTGGGTCATGCCGGTAATCTCAGCATGGGGGGGGGGTGCAGGCAGGAGGAAGCTCAAGGTAACTCCCACACCCCCCAGAAGTTCCAGCTCACTTGAGGCTGCATGAGACCCCGTTTTCAAAAGTAGTGGGAAACTGGGTGTGGCGGCTTATTCATGTAACCCCGCCTCAGGAGGCTGAGGCAGAAAGATCTCTGTGCTACCATAATGAACAGGGTTGACATATTTTCACCAACTGCCACGGTAAGAAGTCTTCACATAAAAAAGTAGAGCATATGGTAAAACCATTCATCTTAAACTTGTGTTGTGTGTGGGATGGGTGTCATGGTACACTATGGCCAGCCCAAGGTTGCTTTTCTTTCGACCATGTGAGTCCACGATTGAATCAAGGTCATCAGGCTTGGCAGCAAGTTTGTTTATCCACTGAACCATCTTGCTGATTGAGGGGGGAGAGGGAGAGAGAGAGAGAGAGAGAGAGAGAGAGAGAGAGAGAGAGAGAGAGAGAGAGAGAGAGAGAGATCTTTCTAGAAATAGATAGCTCTGGCTGGCCTGGAACTCCCTTGGTAGACCAGGCTGGCCTGGAACTCACAGAGATCCACCTGCCTCTGCTTCCCGAGTGCTGGGACTAAAGGCGTGCGCCTCTTTTGAAAAGTAATAATTTCTGACACCCCAGACACAGAAGATTGCAGGATCTGAATCCACTTACTCTCTCTCCTGGATTTGAACTATCTATAATCAATCACCATTTAAAAGCATTGAATAGAAAATTCCAAGAGAGTACATGCATGCAACTTTCATAGAATAATTCATATTGCTATTCTACTTTATTTTTGCCTAACTTGTCAGTTAAGCTCGGCTGCAAACATGCATGTATAAGAGGAGACATAGCTGGGCTGGAGATATGGCTCAGCAGTTAAGAGCACACACTGTTCTTGTGCAGGACCCGAGTTTGATTCCCAGCACGCACCTCAGGCAGCTCACAATTTCTCCAGGGGGATCTGACACCTCTGGTTTCCATGTGTTCACTTCACATGAATATACCCACCCCCCTGACTTGGACACATAGACACACAGACACATACACATACATACAACGTTTTTTTTTTATTAAATCTTTAAAAAAATTAAAAAGAACGCATTTTTTCTTTTTTGATTTGGAACATCCACTAGGATCTTGGGATGTGCACCAAAAAAGGAACAACTGTGCTTATGTATAGCTGTATAATATATATATATATATATATATATATATATATATATATATGTACATATAGTGTCAATATATATAGTGTCAATAATGGGGTATGCTCTGAAAATACATCCTTGAGTGAACATTGCAGAGAACACGTGTATGAGTCTAGATGGTGCAGTCTGTTACATGCCTATGATACTCGTTTGGGGTGTTTGCTGTAGTGCTATGGGTAGAACCCAGGACCTCATGAATGCTAGGTGCACCCTGCTACTGAGCTCTACACACCTACGCTGCAGGGTGCAGCCTCCAGCCCCGGGCTGCAAGCCTGCCTAGCATGCTGCTGCCCTGAAGACCAATGCCAAGGACCCGTGGATTCGACGCTGAGCAATGCAGGACACATGCGGCACAAATGAGAGGTGACAGGCATTTTCAGTTTGGTTGTAATCTTCTCAGGACCACTGTCATGAGTTTGGCACGTCACTGAACCAAAGTGCCATCATGTTGTATGGCCACATGTGAAACATCGAGGAAAGTCAAATATTTACAGGTACATGGATGGTTTGCTGAGATTGTGAGTGCGATCAAGGAGAAGATGTAGGAAATGGGAACAGGAGACAGGAATGTTCTATGGCTGGATGGTGGTGGAGAGAACGTGGCTCAGCCAACTTGCTAAAGGCTGTAGAACTGTTCACTTGAAATGGGAGGATTCCATGCTCTATTAACTATACCTCAGTATACTTTAGAACTAGAAATAACTAGCATTGCGGGCCCCCCCCCTACACTCAGTCCTGTTCTGAGCACATTAAGAGCAGTAATGGACTTCACGCAAAGCAGTCTTTTGATGCGCTATCTTTTCGGAGTGTCCTCAAAGCCCAGGCAGCAAGCCGCCTGGGCTGGCCTGAGCTGGTGTCTGGAGGGAACCAGCTTCCTGGAGAAAGCTCTTGCTTTTGCTCTTGCTTTTTCTGACCCTCCTGTGCTCACATTCATCTCCCACCCTGCCTGATTCCGTGTCCTGACACACCTCAAGATCGAGTTCTCTTGAATGTGATCCGAGGCTCACTGGCGAGTCTTGAAATCAGGTTAGTGAACTGTGGCCTTCTCGAGTGATGGCACACAGCATGGTCCCAGCCCGCTGGCAGCCCAGGCAGTGTGAGGCCAGTCTGAGCTACATAGTGAGCCCCATCTCTCCGGTCTCTCCACGAGGATAAACAGTGCTATGGCTTCCAAGGATCATCCCTCAGTGTGTTCACGTGAATGTGCGTCATGTTGGGCCAATAAGTACAGTGTTTTTCTTACTGTGGGATGGAATCCGAGTGGTTTGGAAGGTCCCACCATAAGTCTTCCAGAAAAGCATATGCAATGCACACTAGAGCAAGAACAGCTGGATGACCTTTGGCAGAACCAACGGTTCATTAAAACATGAAAGGAAGCAACCCAGCAGTGAACCCCACCTTCCCACGACTTGGAAGTTCCTAGGGTTCTTCACCAAAAGCCCAGAAGCAGCAGAAGACCCAATCTTGGGTCACAGGCAGGAAGGCACCAGCTCTCAAGACGCCCACCAGCAGTAGCGGGGAGCCCTGCGCTGGTTTTGAATAGAGTCACTACCCCCTGCAGGTCACTTTCTGTGATTTTAGATAATCCACAGCCAATCCCAGCTTGAGGACAGTAAATAGAAAATTCCAGAAATCAACAATTCCTACATTTCAAGCTGTCCCCTATTCTGAGCAGTGTGTCGTCCTCTACAGCAACTGGGTCCATACACACAGACGTGAATCCTCCCTTGCCCGGCATATCTGCCCTGTGTGCACAACATTTTACAGTTACATCCAAGGAAAAGCTTGACTTTCTCTACATAACAAGATGGCTGAGTCTGATTGTGACTTTAGGGTGTTTGTGTCTTTTCGGCCACCCAAGTCTGCAGTCTTTCTGCGCTGTGTCTGAATAGAGGTTCAATCTCACCAACACTGACACATCTCCTGACTTCAGAGACCCAGGGTGACAACTGCCATTTCATGCATAAAACCAGACTCAGGAGACACAACATCGACCTTTGCAATCAGATGAACACCCACATGTTCAGAATGGCTCCCAGTGCAGAACGCCTCCAAATAGGGATGGGAGGAGCCGGGACAACCAGACTTCTCAGCAAACTTGGACTGTGTGTTTAGTTTGGTTCCTATAGTTTGAGATAATTATGTAGACCAGGCTAGCCTTGAACTGGAACTCTTTCCTGTCCCAACTTCCCAAGTGCTGAGATCTTGGCTCTGTGTCACCATACCCAACTTTAGAATCATAAAAACAGCTGCTCTCTCTGTCTCTCTCTCTCTCCTTAAGTCAGCATTTTAAATTATTACAAAGTGTTTATTTTATTTGTTTCCTTAATGTGAGTGCTTTGCCTGCATGTATGTATGAGCACCACATGTGTCCTTGGTGCCCGCAGAGGCCAGAGGACCCCCTGGTACTGGAGTTACAGACGGCTGTGAGCCGCCATGTTGACGCTGGAAATTGAACCCAGGTCCTCAGGAAGAGAAGCCAGTGTTCTTATTCCTAACATACGGCCACGTACTATTACTACAATTTCTTTTCAACCAGTTGTTCAAGCAAGCCGGCTGGAAAGACAAACATTGCATGTGAGAATCCTAGCTGTTAATTTTTATATGTGTGTACATATATGGGTGGGTGTGGGTGCACAGAGTAAAACCAGAAAGCAGGCCATGGCGGGGTGGGGGGTGAGGGGGAAGGAGATTTTTCAGGAAGTGAAGGAAAATGAGTGATAGAAGTCAGGTGGCGTGAGGTGGGAAGAGGACAGGAGGGAGTAGACAGGGAGTGGGGACAGGCCGGGGAGGGAAAATGTGGGGTAGGATCATGCAAACTATACACCAGAGTGCTGCCTTAAAACAAAGGAAAGAATTCTGCTGTGGCCGATCCCCTGCAGTTTGTTGCAGTCAGATCCCGGGTGCCTGGAAGTGAGACCTGCTCCTTGAGGGGGGCTTACTTAGAGCGTGCAGTAGGTTCATCACACAGCCTGTGTGCATTACGGGTGGATGGCAAAAGTCATTGGAGAAAGCACAGGGACCAGGAAGGAGGAGATTGCTCCAGTACACCCTGGCCCCCGAGAATGGGAGGGGAAGCCAGTTCATAGACATTGGAGGTGGCGGTTACCTACGCCACTGAGCCCAGAGGAAGCCAAGCCTCATAATATGACCACCTTTGAAAAGCAGAATGTGTCCCTCACTTTGAGGGAAGCCACTTATATCCCCCCCCCCCCCGTGGATACTTTTAGCATCCGTACAAATGAGCATTATACACGGAGAAAGGTTTTGACGGCCTTGGATTTGTGCATGTGAGCATACACGTGTGTCTTTGTCTCTGATGTTTCTGTTGAGGGGTTTGAGGCTGGGTGAACACCATGGACAGAGGACTTGTGTTCACAAAACTAGGGGCCAATCCCAAACACACTGTTCCCCCCCTGGGAAGTTACTTACTAGGTTGGCATTTAAAGGAGACCAGGAGGTATTTACTGCTTCCTGGACAAAGGTCAGGTCCAAAGACGCGGCTATTGACCAGGAGGTGGCAGGCTCGCTGGTTCTGGCACTCATCCAGCACCTTCTGGAAGGGATGATAAAAAAGCATAGGCTTGTAAACCGCATGGTGTCTTCTGGGCCCCAAACCTGGGTTGTTCTGGGCTCTGGGGACATGAGGTGTCCCTGTCTTGCCTGGGCTGTGTCTGAGATGAAAGCACCTGTGGATGGTAGGCAGCTCCCTGTAACTTTCAGAAGAAAGAATCTGGTCCAGGGAGCCAGGCCCATGGGAGAGCTGGCCTCAACCAGCCACAGTGGGCACTATGGCTAAATTTAAAAAGATCCATCCCTCAGAGGCTCTAGGGTACACGAGCGATGTCAAGTCACCTTTGATTGGTCAACTGGAGGGCACCTCAAGCTTTAGAATTGAGAGAACCACAATGGCCAGGAATTATGACCACATCTCCTTCCCTTTAGAAATGGCCCCACACAGGCCCCAGGGACTTGGGAAAGAATGCAAACACCCACACTTTTTCTACCAAAAGAAATATTTAAAGCTGATGCCCACCCTTGACAAACTCAGGGGCATGGGCCCATGATTTTGCTACTCTGTGATTTCTTTAATGGAATACTCTCTCTCTCTCTCTCTCTCTCTCTCTCTCTCTCTCTCTCTCTCTCTCTTCCCCTTTCTTCTCTCCCTCCCTCCACCCTCTCTCCCTCTCTCTGGAAGCTTGTGGAACACCCTATCGTGGAAGGGTCCATGACTTCTTATGGCCCCTCTGGGCTGTGGCTTGCAGAGAAAACTACACAGAATAAACTCAGGTGCTGGCCTTGGTGAAAGAGAGACAAAGTTCAGAAGAGGAAAAGTTCCCAACAATCTACTCTTACTTTAGGACTGAATGCCACGTGGATTTTTGACCTTTATCCCGAGTTACCATGTTCTCATTACAGCTCACGGGATATATATTTCCATGAAGGATGTTGGTGCTACCATGTCACCTCCCCTGCCACTTCGGGGAGGGGCCAAGGAGATGTGCATCTGTCGAACGGAAAGAATTCCCAGGAGAACCTTTACACCCCTATCAGGCACAGCTCTCAGATGGTGGCACAGGCTGGCATGGCTAATGGTCTTGGTAAATCACACAGCCTCTGGATGTTACTGTGAGGGTCTTCCACTGCAACCTCAGGGCAGGCTCAAACTGTTACCAACAGCAAAATGCAGAGAGCGGCTCCGATAGTTACGCTGGTGGATGTTCCTACCTTAAACACCAATGCCCCTCAGCACGTAGGCTGACTCAGCTGCCCGTGTGGTGTGAGGTCCCAGGGGAAGGGACCTCCTGCTTGCTGAGTGAAAGGGCCATTCACAGCCATGTTCTGGCAAGCTAACCGTCTGAGCAGCGTCAGAATTATGTCCACAGATGATGACATGTCAGCCTGAACGGAACTTCCTTCCCTCGGGGCACCAGGCTGAGCCACGGTGCCAGTAGTTCATGCTTTCGCCAGGTACTGACCCCTGGGGGCTGGCGGCCAGCACCCTTTTTATGCACCTTGGAGGGCAGTGGAGAGTCTCGGCACCTGGGTTGGGTGATGTGGGAGTCAGGTGACCAGCAGGAGTATGGCTCTTAGAGGGGAGGCCCCAAAGGGAGAAACTGAGGCAGGGAGGGTATCAAAGATACTACACTTGACTTCCAAAGAAACGTGTTGTCTCTCATCACGGTGTGGAAACCATGTCAAGGGAATTCAGCCAGTTACATTCTTTTGTGCTGTTTACTAATTACATGACTACCCGTGTAAAGTAGCATGAATAATAGAAAATATTTGCATCGTCTAATATTTTTGCTTGTCCGTGGGCATAAAAATAATGTACAGACATCTCCTTAGACCCTCTGATAAATTTACCTTCATCTACATGTTCTATGATGACCATAATCAAGCTGACATCTACCTTGTCATTTGCGGTACAGGACAGACGAGGCCGGTGATATAGTAATGTTGGCCGGTAGCTGAGATGACAGATTACAGATCGCACGGATAGGCTTTAACCATAGTGGCACAGGCTGTAATCCCAGCCTCTGCCCACAGATAGCAGGATGGAAGGTTTGTGTCTATCGAACAAGTTCAAAGTTAGCCATGGAAACTGAGGAAGACACGGTCTCAAAAATGAAAAAGGACCGAGACTATAGCTTGCCTAGTGGTATGCTGCTTGCCTAGCATGCAGACGGTCCTAGATTCAGCCAATCCCCGGCAATGGGAAAAGGTGCGTGCGGGTATGACTGACAGCCTCAGTTTAAAATCACCAGCGAATGACTTGACCTCTATATGGACCAGCTTTCCCCAAGTATGCTCAGGTAGCGAAGTGAGAAGGAGGGGGACAGGGGAGGAGACAAGAGGGAGCTGAAGAGGAGCGGGGAAAGAAGAAGTTGCACTTCAGAAGAAAAAAAACTTGATCAAGATGGCTCAAAACATCTCTAAATGAGAATACAACGGTTGCCTACAGGAAGAGAAGCAAGCCACGAGAAACAGAAGACAATTACTGCTATGTCTCTTGGGCTACCCTCTAAGAAGTTCGTCATGACTGCCGATGCCGGCATCAGAGTCACTGGCCTTCCCAGTGGGGCATTTATCAGTCCAACATGGCTGCTTTGCTTCGCTAGAGTAGAGTGTGCCTGTGACTAACTCCGTATGGGAAGGATGCTGAGGGAGCGCTTCATGACATCGGGTTTCCCTCTGTACTGTGTGGCAGAGACCTTTGAGAAGCAAGAAATGCTCACCTATAAAAATCAGTGATGCTATAGTAATGCGCACACACACAGACACAGATTTTTGCTTTGGATGAGACACAGAATCACACATCTATGAACACAGAAAAGAGAGGAGAGAGAGGGAAGAGAGGGGAAAACCATTGCGTGATTCCAGCACATCCACGAAACGCAGTACCTGCAAAGTGGTGGATGCCACGCAGGTCAAGTTGTCTTCCCTCTGGGAGGTGGGCTCCTGGGAACTACACATTTGGTAGTCTTGCCCGTAAAAAGCCGACTGGACACTTATTGTTGAATGCCGAGGGCACTGTAGATTCAAATAGTCCCCGTCACAGGCATAGGCGGTGTGGTTTTGCAGGAGTTTGGTTAAGTAACCTGGAAAATATTAGCTGGGTTATGGGAGCCCCCGGGAAGCCCCCCTCCCAGTTCCTGCGTAGATTTCAGAGCAAGGAGATGCTGGTTTCCTTGGGGCAGGGACAGCGGGGTAAGAAGGTGGGGGCTACAGCTTCTGCAGCAGACCCGAGGCAAGCAGGCCACCACTAAGGTCCTGAGGCTGTGGGGCCAGATGCTGGCTTTCCTGTGTGAATGGGTACCTTGGTCTGTGATGGTTCAGTGCAAGGCTCGGAGGGCTCCATCCCTCCAGGCAGCTCACTAAAGGATTGGCCACGAGCCCAAGGACTCTGGAAGAGCTTCTATAAAGCAGGAACTACGCTGAGTGGGTGTCGCTGGGCATGTGGACACCCGTTCCGAGGAAGAATTGACTTTTCTGATCTCCGGGCCTTCCTGAAGTAAGGGGTGCCATTCAACTTCAGGAAACCACTCCTGGGCCTGCCTCACCCCAGAGAGGAAAGCTGGGGAGGGTTGCCGGCATAGAGTAAGGCTTGCCTGGAAGAGGTTGGGGGAGGGGGCTAAGGTGGTGGGAAATAGAGTGGATCTTTGCTGTAGATTGAGTAGTGAGTGTATCTCCAGATTCCTATTGTGTTCCGCGATGTTGCTTCATTTGAAAGCAGGAGTGCGGTTCAGGCACAATTAGTTGAAAAGAAGGCATGCTGAACTTGGGAGAACCCTGAATGACATACGACTAGTGTCCCCGTCAGGAAAAAAGAACGAAGACAGAAGCAGTAATGGGCAGATTGGAGTGACAGGGAAGCCACCAGCAGAAACCCAGGGTGCACAGAAGGCCTTACAGGGTGTGCGGCTCTGCTGGTGCCTGGATTTCAGACCTCTTGGACTACAGGAGTAGGGTTTTTGATGTACACAGCCACCCGTTTTGGAAATCATCCCAATAGCCACAGGAACAAAAATAGGCCCTGCATTCCAGTCTCCCCGATGACTTCTCAAGCAGTTGTAGGAGCCAGGCTGGGCCGGGGCTCTGAGAAGCTCTGCGGACCTATAGCCTGGTATGTCTGGAGCATGAGCTGGTTCTCAGAAACGAGGAAGTAAGTCCTGGCCAGAATGTAGAGTTCTCTTCCTCCTTCTCACACCTCATAAGGTCAACAGCAAGGCGGCCGGGAGCAGAGCCAGGGACTTTTTGTTGAGGTGTGTGTGGGATGCGCTGGGCAGACTAACAGGGAGGCATTAGGGGAGGAAGGGCAGTTCCAGAAGTTTTTGATTCCCACACAGACAACCCACGCCTATGTGAGTCCCATTCTGGTTTCAAATGGGACTCTCAGAAGTACATAATTCCTGACTGAAGGTATGTGGGCTCCCTGGGGGCTCAAAGGCAAAGAGCAAGGCGGTTTGGCCTAGAGTCATCCCTTTCACACATGAGTGCTCTGAGGAAGGCTGCAAATGCCCACGGAAGACTTACCCTGGCCAAAATGCCCTCTCTCTCTCCTCTTCCTCCTTCCTTCCTCTCTCTTCCTCCTCTTCCTCATCCTCCTTTCCTCCTCCTCTCTCTATCTCTCTCTCCGTGTGTCTCTGTCTCTCTCTGTCTCTGTCTCTCTCCTCCTACTTCTTTGGGAGTCTACCTTGTGCAGAGGATCAGTCTAACATGAACAGCAAAAGGAAATCAGGCACCAGAATGAATCTGCTTTTTGCTCATCTACCTCCAGGACTCAGCTTCGTAGGCTCCTTGCATGGCATGCTGGGAGGCAGCCCCTGAAAGAGTGACAAGTACCACTAGTGCAGGATTTCTATGCTGCATCTCAAACCCCTGTGGGGCCTGCGAGAAATGAGGGCCAGCATCTGTCCTGAATGTGCCAGGCAGGGCCCCCACTGTCGAGATCCCTTTAGACATCTCCTTAAAACTTCCTGCACATCAACCCATAGCTCCCAGAACTCCAGCTTCAAAGTAATTCTCAGAGGGTGACTGTGGGTTCAAGTTCATTGTTTATTGGAAAGATGGTTTGCTGTTCTAGCTGATAAAGGATGGGACTGGGTTCTGTGGACCGTGGAGTAGTGAGACCGGAAAAGCGGGGGGGGGGGGGGGGGGTAGGGGGACGACACCCTCTGGGCCCTGGATCCCTGGAGACAGAGGTTCTCTGTAATAGTTGATCTTGATGGAATTTGACAACATCTGTAGGCGCATCTGTGAGGATCCAGAAAGGTTTAGCCACGGGGGAAGACCCTCCCTAAGTGCAGATGGGGTCTGCAGATTGAGTAAGCGGTGAGAAGGGAGGGGGTGGAGAGGAGGCTGCATGATTCAGAGCCCTGGCTGTGCCATCATGAGGGTCAGACTACAGGTTCCAGCACCCATCTAACAAGGCAGGCATTCAGCGCGTGCTTGTAACCACAGCTTCAAGTGGGGTGCAGACTGGGAATCACTGGGGCGGGGTGACCTCCAGTGTAGCTGAGAAAAAAAGTGTGCCCTGCCCCCCACCTCAGAGAAATAAGTAGAGAGTGATTTAGGGGGAGGGTCTGATGGCCTTTTCTGGGCTCCGTGTAAATACACAGACTCATACACCAACACACACGTGCACAGACACACAGACCCAGAGAGAGAGAGAGATTTAAATGAGAACAAAGGCGAAAGTGTGACAAGCCCCCAGCACATCCTTTGCCTCCTGGTTGGATACAATGTAACTATCTGTATCTCACTCCTGCTGACATCCCTCTGCCGCCATGATGTACTCTACCTTCAAATAATGAGCCCAGATAAGCTCTTCCTCCTCCTCGGGTCACTGGACACAGCGATGAGGAAAGTCACAACTGCCTGCTGGACAGACCATCACAGGGGCATATGTGCATATGTTGTGTGTGTGTGTGTGTGTGTGCTCACATGCACGTGTATGAGTGTATGCACGTGCGCTCACATGTACATGGAGGCCAGAAATCAACCTCTGATGTCTTGTCTTGGGTGCTGTCCATTTTTTCACACTGAGAAAAGGCCCACAGCTTTCCAAGTGAGCTAGCCTAGCTAGCTGGCCAGCCGATCTGCCTGTCCCCATGTCCCCGTCACTGGGAATTACAAGGGGCTCTACCATGCCTGCTCAGCATTTGTTCATACCGGCTCTGAGAATCATGAGTGCACTCCACTGCCTGTCTTAGTTAGAATTTCTATTGCCATGACAGGGTCTCTTACATTGTATCCCAGCAGCCTGCCCCATAATTTACCATGTTGCCCAGGCTGGGCCTCCAACTCATGGCAATTCTCCTGCCTCAGCTACCTAAAATATGGGGTTATAGGCATGAGCCACAATGCCCAGCATGAGTAGAAGTCCATACCCTTGTTATTCTGTCTCTAAAGCCCAGTGTTACCTGAGACGCTGAGCTGCCGAGGCTGGTGGGTGAGGGCCGATGGAGAACTGAGTACCAACCTTCCTGTCAGCTCAGGTACCTGAGCACATCTTGTGATCATTGCCCAGATTCCCTTCCCCAGCAAACTAAATTATCAGAATGCCAGCAGCTTCCCAGCCAGAATCTTCCTCAAAAGGACACCAAAAGGCCGGGGCCTGGGAAGATCTCAGAGGAGACTACATCATGCATCCTTACGTTTTCCCTTTATAAACAAAGATGAGGAGTTTGCGGAAGAATGGGTCCCTGAAGGGCAGTGGGAGTTGCTCTCTATCTTTGGAAAGATACAGAGAAGGGAGGTGAGTTGGCTCAGCCAGTGATGCCTGCCCTAATGCCTAATGACCTGCGTTCCATGCCCAGAGCCCACGGTGGAAAGAACTAACTCTTGCAAGTTGTCCTCTGATGTCCACGGAAGTGCCCTTGTGTCTGGGCCGTCTGTGAGCACATGCAGGCTTTGCCTTGATGACACTAGCTGACGGGACCAGACAGTCCCTCACTGAGACTTCCCAGGTGCGTTGGCTGGCTTCATGTCACCTTGACACAAACCAGAGTCGTCTGAGAGGCGGGGGCCTCGATTGAGAAAGTGCCTCCGTAAGACCCAGCTGTGGGGCATTTTTTTTAATTAGTTATTGATGAGGGAGGGACCAGTCCATGGTGGGTGGGGCCATCCCTGGGCTGGTGGTCCCGGGTTCTTTAAAACAGCAGGCTGTGTAAGCCATGAAGAGCATGCCAGTAGGCAGCTCCCCTCCGTGGCCTCTGCATCAGCTCCTGCCTCCAGGTTCCAGCCCTGCTTGAGCTCCTGTCCTGACTGCCTTCATGATGGGCTACAGTGTGGAAGTGTAAAGCAAATAAACCCTTTCCTCCCCGCATTGCTTTTGGCCAGGGTGTTTCATCGCAGCAATAGAAGGCCTAACAAAGACACCAGGTGATTCTAGATCGTGTCAAATTAACAGTTAAAAATGAGCATCACACGAATGTTTACAAGAGTTCTCTTCCCCGAGGCCAGAGACTCTCCCAAGTTCTCCAAGGGCTAAGGCTGCTTGAGTCACTCTGTGTGCAAAATCTATCAGCCATCAGCCCCACGTCCAGGTGCTGAAGTCGCCCGGAGTCACCAGAGGACAATTTCACAACTGTTCTTGAAAGAGGATGGAATTCAATTGTTCCGTCCTGGCCTTCCTCGCCTCTCTTTAAGAAAACAATTGAAGTGGCACCCTCCTCCGAGGAATGCTTCTGCTGAATGCTTCTGATAAGAGACCGCACCCTCGATTCCCACACACCGGAGGTGTCTCTGCATGATTGAAGTTCGTTTCCAGAGAAAGGTAGCGTTCCTTTCATGTTTGTTGAATGTGTTTAGAGCCCTGAGTTGGCACTCTTACGGGTATTAGAAGCCCGTCTCCCCCACCCCCTGCAGGCAAAAAGCTTCCTTCACAGTTTTGTGCAGGTGGTAAGAAGGCTAAGTAGAGCATCATAGTCAGTGACTGAGGACATCCATTTCATTCCCTGGGGAGAACCTGAGGGCTATGGTTTGCACAGGGTTTGTGTGTGTGTGTGTGTGTGTGTCCCCCAAGGGTTCTGGTAGAAATTTAATTATTATCTGGAAGGAATAAGAGGTTGGACACTTAGTCAGACTGCAGTGTTCA